CCCAGACTGGAGTGCAGTGGCTGCTCCCGGCTACCGCAGCCTCAACCTGCTGGGCTCTGGCGATCCTTCCGCCTCAGCCTTGCGCGTAGCTGGAATTACAGGCGTGCGCTAACACGCCCGGTTAATTGTTTTTTTTTATTTATTGTAGAGATGAGGTCTCGCCAAGTTGCCCAGGCGGGTCTTGAACCCGCGGGCTCAGGCAATCCACTCACCTTGGCCTCCCAAGGCACGGGATTACAGGCTGAGCCACCGAGCCCGGCTAACAGAGAATTTCTTTATGAGCTGTCATCTCAGCACATTTCCAAATATTCTGGTCATCTTATCTTCCTTTGTAAATTACCTGTGTTTTGCCCAAGAAAAATACTGAATTGCTTTACAATTCTAATTATTATCATTGCAGTACTTGTTGATATAATGAAAGGTCCACAAACAGATCTGTGGACGGACACCCAGATTTCTAGCTAAGGTGTGCCGATACAATTCAATGGGAAAAGGAAAATCATTTCAACAGATTGATCTGTAGTAGACCAGCTCACAATATACATAAACTTGAGATGAATCATACATCTTGATGCAGAAGTTAAAACGATCAAACCTCTAGAAGAAAACAAGAGGCTATCTTCATGACTTTGGGGCAAGCAAAGATTTTTCGAAGAAGACACGGAAAGCAATATTTCACCTAGGAACTCTCGGGGGACCTGGGCTCGCCTTGGGCCAGTTCATGGGACACCATGGGTGGAAATTGAGTAGGACTGGCCTTAGGTTCTCATCACATGGGACCCCAGAGGCCTGGGTGGAGGCTTGTGAGAAACCACACGAGCTTTGTCATGTACCCCTCAACACCCCAGGCAAGCACTTCCTGGAACATCTGGTCTCACCGAGGACCCCACAATAAAGAGAGACATGAGTCACCTTCCGGGGACCTCTTCCTCTTCATTAGTGTGGTTTTCGCACACTAGGACAATAGTGAATTATAACCCACATCTTTAAAATAAAAAAAAAGAAAAAGAAGGGAGGGGGGAGCCATTCCCGAGCCAGCTGCCCGAGGGGGGTAGCCGCCGCACCCTGAAAAGCTGGAGATGGAGACAGAGTAGGGCTGGGCTTTGGAGCCACAGGGTCTGGATTTAAATTCCCAGACCTTTCCCTTCCTTGCTGTGTGTTTGTGGGCAACTCACTGGACCTCTCTGAGTCCTGGTTTCCTCCTCTGAGGCGAATTGAGTTTGCCATCAATTGAGCAGTCGGTCTGAGAGCTGTTCTGGCGTGGTGGGTGATCCAGACAGGCAGAGGCCGTCCTGCCCTCAAGCACTCGACAAGCAGCTGCGGAAACAAGCCAGCCACTGAGGCGGCACCTGGGATGCAGCGTCTCACAGACAGGCCCCTTATCCTAACTTCTACCACCAGGCTCCCCGCCTCCCAGGCCCCAAGTGTTAGGAAATCCTTTGCCTCCTCTCCCCTCTTTCTTTAGCTACAAAGTCCTAGCAATTCTTCCGCCAAAATGCCTCTTTTGGCCAGGCACAGTGGCTCAAGCCCGTGATCCTGGCACTTTAGGAGGCTGTGGAGAGAGAATCACTTAAGACCCAGAGCTCAAGACCAGCCTGGCCAACATAGCGAGACCCCGTCTCTACAAAAAAATTTTTAAAATGGTGGTGCACTCCGGTAGTCCCAGTTACTTGGGAAGCTGAGGCAGAAGATCGCCTGACCTAGGAGGTCCAGGCTGCAGTGAGCTGTGATCTGGCTACTGCACTCCAGCCTGGGTGACATAGTGAGACTCTGTTTTTTTGTTTTGTTTTTTTTGAGTTGGAGTCTCGCTCTGTCGCCCAGACTGGAGTGCAGCGGCCGCTCCTGGCCACTGCAGCCTCGACCTGCTGGGCTCTGGCCATCCTTCCGCCTCAGCCTTCCAAGTAGCTGGAACTACAGGCACGTGGCACCATGTCAGGCTAATTCTTTGATTTATTGTAGAGATGAGGTCTCGCCAAGTTGCCCAGGCAGGTCTCGAACCTGAGGGCTCAGGTAGGTCTCACCTCAGCCTCCCAAAGTGCTGGGATTGCAGGCTGAGCCACCGAGCCCGGCTCTTTTTTTATTTTTTAAACAGCCTCTTTTATCAAGAAGTCCTACAATAGCCAACTCTGCTCTCTGACTCTCATTCCCTCTCATCTTTCCTGGTAAAATCCCATTTTTGCTCAAAGTGGCAATAAAAGTCCAGCAAAAGACTTCCTTTCCTATACCCCTTTGCAGCTGGGGTAGTCATGGGACACAGAGATGTAAGCTGAGGGCTTCTGGGAAAGGTCTGCTTTTCCTACATAGATACCACTCCTTTCTGCTTCACTCTATTTTCTACCCAGAATGAGGTCCTGTGGCTTGGCAGTGCTGCAGCAGCCATTTTGAGATTATGAGGCACCCAGTGTGAAGAAGGCCTTCATGTCTCTCACCTAGACTTCTGCACAGGCCATTAGGGAGGTTCCCAGCCCCTGCTCTGTAAGTAGAAGCATCATGGTGAACACATGAATCCCACACATGAAACCCACACATGAATCCATTTAGGGTTCATCCCTAAAGTAAAACATATGAGGCAACCCGTGGAAGTGAAGATCTGTGTGTAACTCACATGGAAAGGTGTTCCTGTCAAATTAAAATAGCTTTTACGGTCTATAATTGCCTGTGTTATATGTACGGATGCATAAATATATACTACACAGATACATAAGCATATATTACTAATAAATATATACACTTAAAAGTGTAAATGGTACAGATCAATTTGCTCATAGTATAAAAAAAATAAAAGTGTAAACAGTGGCTCATGCCATGCCTAGAATCCCAGCCCTTTGGGAGGCAGAGAGAATCACTTGAGCCTAGGAGTTCTAGACCAGCCTGGGCAACACAGCAAGACCTCGTCTCTACAAAAAAGTGAAAAATTAGCCAGGCGTGGTGACACTTGTCTGTAGTTCCAGCTACTTGGGAGGCTGAGGCAGAAGGATCTCATGAGCCCAGGAAGTTGAGGCTGTGGTGAGCCGTGAGAGCCACTGCACTCTCACCTAGGCAACAGAGTGAGACTCCAACTCAGAAAAGAAAAGGGTGAATGGGTATTCTTGTAAATTGTCAACAGGCTTATATCTGTTTGGTGAGCTTATAAGCGGTTTTATTTTTTTCTTACTTATCTGGTTAAATGTTTTTCAATAAAGAAGAAAAATAAGAGACAAAAAGTACTGAAAATGTTTGCTGTCTGCACTCCTTAGTCTGGCATTAGTTGCTTTTACTCTGGGCAGGAATAAAGGTGTGGGGTGTGTGTGTGTTTGTGTGTGTGTGTGTGTGTGTGTGTGTGTGTGTGTGTGTGTGTGCGTGTGTGACTGAGTTAGTGTGTGTGTATGCAAATGTGTGGTTGTTCGGGAGTGTGTGTGTCTGAGTGGAGTTTGTATGTGTGAGTACATCTGAGTGTTTTGGAGGAACTGAGTTAGAGTGTGTGTGTGTGTAAGTGTGAGTGTGTGAGTGTGTCTGGCTTCCCTGGGGAAGGAGTGAACAGCCAGAAAGGATTCAGGAGACTCCACTCTTCTCAGTTAGGCCTGATCCATGGATGGAAGGGGCAGCAAACCTACTTTCTCCCTCCCGACAGCTGCCACCCAGGCTCCAGAGGCCAGGTGGCCAGATCAATCGCTTGTCACTTAGCAGGCCACGCTGGAGCCCTATGAGCAGGCCGCACCATGCTCATTTTACAGACGGGGAATGAGGTGCCAGGAGATGCAGTCTCTGGCTTTGGGTGCCCCTGCTTGTGGGAGGCCTGACTGTCTCAGAGACCCCTCCTCTTCCTCAGTAGAAGTAGAGAGGAGAGCAGGGCCCTGAATGAGCTCAGGAGGAAGATTACTTTTTGGTTTTCAGTTGGGGTCTCATTCTGTCATCCGGGCTGGCGTGCAGTGGCATGTGACGATTTTCTGCAGCCTGGATCCCGGGCTCAGGCAATCCTGCCTCAGCCTCCTGGATAGCTGGGACAACAGGCTAACTTTTTTGGCGATTCTTTTGTAGTGACGAGGTCTTGCTATGTTGCTCAGGCTGGCATCAAGTTCCTGGGCTCAAGCAACCCTCCTGCCTCAGCCTCCCAAAGTGCTGGGAATACAGGCATGAGCCACCCACCTGGCTGGGATCAACTTTTTAGAGAAAAAGACGGGGCTGACGTTTGGACTCAGCAGGTGATGGCTTTCCTAGGGAGGTGGAATAATTCGAGATAACATTTCAGGGAGACTTGGGGGTGAGGGATACTGAAGAGGGGGTTCTGACTGGTCCTGGCTGGGCCCCTCAGCCCGAGGTGAAGGACCCCAGGAGGCTGGGGCTGGTTTCCAGTCCCAGCCCCAACTCACGTGGCTTAAGTTAGTCCCTCCTGCTCTCCAGGCCTCAGTGTCTTCATCTGAGCCAAGAAGGAGTCAGGCTAAGGATAGCAGAGAACATATGGGATGCCCATTTCGTTTGAATTTCAGGTAAGCAAGAAGTGATTTTTAGCTAAGTATATTTGGGACATACTTGTACCCAAAACGACTTATTTTTAGATCCTATATTCAAATTCACCGGGGAATCCTGGATTTTGGTTTGCCAGATCTGGCAGCTCTGTGGGTTAAAGGGCGGGGAGAGAGCAGGTGTATGGAGAGATGGCCAAGCAGAGCATCGAACTGGGCCCCAGGGAGGGGAACAGGAGAAGGCGAGAGGAGGGACACAGGGGTTAGGAGGCCGCAAGCCAGGGACTCCGCCGGCCCTCAGTTGCAAGGGCTTCTCCCTCCGTTCGGCATGACAGGCCTCAGGGCAGCTGCTGGCATCCCCACCCTAACACCCTCTCAGCCCCGAAAGTGCCAGCAGTGTGGGGGATGGGGCCAGCGAGGCACTCCCCACACTTCTTCACAAGCTGAAGTCTGGTGTTTGTGGTCAACCCAGTGACGTGCAGAGGCGACATACAAGAGGAGGAGCAGGACCCGAGAAGGGCTCGGCTGCGGGTTCCTCCGTCTCAGCTCCTGCCCGTCATGGCTACCTGGGCTCTCCTGCTCCTTGCCTCCGTGCTCCTGGGCAACTCAGGTAAGGACTTCCCTGGATAGATCCCGACGGTCCCTCCCAGCCCTGCTCTCTTGAGCTGGCTGAACCCAGCGCACAGGCTCTGCAGGCATCCAGGGACCCCGGCGCTTCCCCGGCCTCCTCTCCCAGCAGGGAGGCTGGGCCTTCCCCTCAGAGCCAGGTTCGGCCCCAGCGGGCTCCCCCAGCCTGGCCGTCAGCAGCCTGGCCGACCAGGAGAGCCCCGGCCTGGGTTCTGGTCCCAACTCTGCAGGCCACCCTGCAGCCTGGGGACCCCCTTTTCCTCCCCAAGCCTTTGACTCCTCTGTGTCATGGAGGCCGTCAGTCGCCAACAGCAGGGCTGATACTTCTCCTGGTCCACACTGGCTGGGGTTATAACAGAACTCGGGAGAGAATGGGAACCCACCCTTCCCACTCCCTACACCCTGTTCTCTCCCAGTCTCTGAGGTCAGCATCGACTCCAAGGGCTTAGCTGAAGGGAAGGACACTTCTGGAAGGGAGAGCAGGCTTGGCTGGGCCACTTGGATGGAAAGAGAAAAAGGAAGACGATCTCTGGAAAGGCGATGATGGGAATTGCTTCTAGACGACTAACTCCCCCCCAAATCTGTGCTGGGGTAGTGGACGGGGGAGGGAGGGACTCTTGCCCTCCTGGCTTTTCAGAAGGAACCTGAGAACATGTTTTTTGATGGTGGTGTTTGTTTGTTTTGCGGAGAGGGGGTCAGAGTCGCTCCAGGGTGCAGCGTGAGGAGAGGACTCCTGTCCTTCCCCCAAGGCTCAAGTTCTGTCCAGGCCTTGGCTACCTCTTGGGCTCCTCATCAGCCAGGAGACTGGCTTTTCCCTCTCCTCCCACCTCCGAGGGATGCTGACGCTCTTTCTTTCCCAGGTCTGGCTTTCTCTGGCCTGTCCCCTGAGTACTATGACCCGATGACAGCCCACCTGTGGGATGGAGAGCAGTCTTACCGGGGCCTGGCCCAGGAGGGCCCCCAGGTACATGGTTGTCTCCTCTTGTGCTCCCTGAGTGACTCTTGGACTAAAATGATGGGCAGCACTGGGAGGAGGCTGGGCTGTGTGTTGAAGACTCTGGTTGTGTCTGATTCACACTCGGCCGGGGGGCTGCAATCGTCTGGTGGGCTCTTAAGAGGGTCCTCTGGGGTCCAACCCTCCAAGGAGCCAGGGGCTGCAGAAGCAGAATGGCAGGTTCTCCTGGGGTTTGTGAGCAGGAGAGGGGCAAGTGGAAAAAATATTGAGGGTGTAGGAGACAGATTCTGGGGTCTCTTGGCACTTCTAAAACTGGCAGAGCCAGTAATCCCAGCACTTTGGGAGGCGGAGGTGAGAGGATTGCCTGAGCCCAGGGCTTCAAGACCAGCCTGAGCAATGTGGCAAGACCTCATCTCTACAATAAATTTAAAAAAACAGCTGGGTGTGATGGCGCATACCTGTTGCTCCAGCTACTTGGAAGGCTGAGACGGAAGGATCACCTGAGCCCAGCAGGTTGAGAGGTTGAGGCTGCGGTGGCTGTGAGTGTGCCACTGCACTCCAGCCTGGGTGACAGAGCGAGACTCCGACTCAAAAAATAAATGAATAAATAAATAAACAAAGCTAGCAGGAAGGTGGGCAAGGCCCAGGCAGCCTGATGCAGACCCTCAGGGTACTACCCTCTGAAATAAAAGATCATAGATGTTCTTGCCTACCTTAAAAGCACCGAGGGCCACTTCCCTGGGCACTTTCTTTTTTTGTGTGTGTTGAAGTCTCACTCTGTCGCCCAGAGTGGAGTGCAGTGGCCGCTCCCGGCCACCGCAGCCTCGACCTGCTGGGCTCCGGCGATCCTTCCACCTCAGTCTTACAAGTAGCCGGAACTACAGGCGCGCGCTACCACGCCCGGCTGATTTTTGATTGATTGTAGAGACGAGGTCTCGCCAAGTTGCTCAGGCGGGTCTCAAACCCGTGAACTGAGGCAATCCACTCCCCTCGGCCTCCCAAAGCACTGGGATGACAGGCTGAGACACTGAGCCCGGCCTCCCTGGACAATTTCAAGGACTCCTGGAGTGTCTGAGAGACCATCATAAAGGGCTTTCTTTCTGGACAGGGCTACCTGCAGACCAAAACACAGAAGCTGAGCCTGAGCTGCATGTCCTGTCGGAAGATAATCCAGGTGCTGGAGGACAAAGTGGGAAACAATCCCACGCAGGTGAGGCTGAGGGGCCGTGAAGCTCTCTGCCTGCTGGTCAGTGGAGCAAATGGCCTCTGACCAGGCAGGGGGTCTGGGGGGGGCTTCTTAGCGGGCATCTGTGAGCCCCTGGAGTGTCTGTGGATGGATTTCTGTGAAATTGTTTGTGACACTCTGGAAGAGTGTAAGTCGGAGGGCAAAGCGTGCCTGGTTTCCATCAAATTTTCCAAGAAGACTTGTCCTGAGAAGAAAGAACCCCTCCCTTATAGCCCTATGCCTGTGTCTAGGGCAAAGCTCTAAGGGGCTGGTTCCAGCGTCAGATTCCAAGGTCACGCTACTCAGCGTCTTGGCCTGCAGGGCCCTCCCTCAGTCCTGGAGACCAACTGACTAAGCCTGGCTGGATGCCGTGGCTCATACCTGTAGTCCCGGCACTTTGGGAGGCTGAGGCGGGAGGATTGCTTGAACCCAGGGGTTGGGCATCAGCCTGGACAGCACAGCGAGACCTCATCTAAAAAAAATTGGATGAGCTAAGGCTCCAAGAGCTGACTCCTCCTAGCCGTCCCCACTCACCCCCTGCAGCTGGAGCCCCAGCCGGGTCCTGGACCCAGGCAGCTGCACTGGCAGAGCCTTTAATGTGGGTCTGGCAGCCACAGGCGCCATGGTCTACACAGAAGGCGAGAGGTGAGTGTACGGGGGGCTGAGACACCAGCAGGATCCCTGTCCTCTCAGGAGCCCCGTCTGGTCTGGCTTGAGCCAGGGCCTTAGGGACTGGGAGTGGGGTCAAGCCCTGCAGCTCCAGTCTCTGGTCCCACCTGGCACTGGCTCCTCACAGCTGGCACTTCCCTTGCCAGAGCTGCTGGGCCTACTCACCCGGTTCCCACGTCCCTCCATGGTACCCCCGCTGCAGGAAACCATTGACCAGGCTGCGACCCAGGTGTGCAGGAAGCTGAAGTTTCTGAGCGGTCTCTGCAAAAAGATCATGAGGCTATACCTTCCTCGAATTGCCCAGGGCATCATGGATGGAAAGACCGCCAGGGAGGTCTGTGTGGACCTCAGGATGTGCAAAGGTTCTGCGGGTGAGTGCAGAGGTGACAGCAGGGACACTTCCCACCACACACGGCTAAGCTTCTTTCTTGTGACACGTTACTCTCCCCACTCCCAACATGGCAAAGTGTGAAGAATTGGGCAGATCGACTCTTGCTGGAAGTGTTTGAAGGGCGGGCGTGGTGGCTCACACCTGTAATCCCAGCATTTTGGGAAGCTGAGGTGGGAGATCGCTTGAATCCAGAAATTTGAGACTGCAGTGGGTTATGGTCACGTTCTGCACTCAAGCCTGGGCAACAGAGCAAGCTAGTGTCTCTTAAATAGAAAAGAAAAGAAAAAGAAATGTTTGAGAAATACTGATTAAGAGCTTGGGAAGTCTGGGGTAAAATCTGGTCTCCATCTCTCCCTGGTTATGAGACCTTGGGCAAGTAACTTGATGTCTCTGAGCTTGTTTCTTCCTCTGTGAGGAAGGGATCGCAATTCTGGTTCCTGAGATTGGAATGAGAATTGAACCAGATCACCGTGTACAAAGAGCTGCCACCAGGGAAATGTCCTCTGACTGGGGATATTCAAGAGGCATCCGAGACCCCGTCAAACTCCAGTTCCCCAGCCCAGCATAGGTCTCTGGGGACAGGAGCTGGGTCCACGTCCCTCCCCCACAGGGGCCCTGAGAGCTGGGTTAGGGACTCCTGCTGGGCAGAGGGTCTCGGGCCTCTTCTTCCGTGGTTGCCCAGGTTGTGGGAGGGAACAGGCCACAGCTGCAGGAGGGGGGGCTGGCAAGGTGATTCCTCGGGCAGCTCAGCTGGCACTCCCTGGGGCTCCAGGAGGCTAGCAGGTCTGGGGTTGGCCCACTGTGCAAGGTCACTGGAGCCTGTGGCTTTTATCTTCAAAGCCCCTCAAGGTTCAGGCTCCTGACTGGCGTCCGTGATGCGCCGGGATGTTCTCAGCAGCAGGGAGTGACTCTGAGTTCCCGCTTCCCTTGGGACCAACACATCTGCCCACAGCTAACTCTTCTCGCCACTCCAGGTTTCGTCTGAGGCCTCTCACCGTAGCCTGGAAGAAGCCCAGTGGGCTGGCACCTGTCCTCAGGTCCTGGGACCCTCAGCAACCCTGTCGCCCCTCCCTTCCTAGACCCAGAACCTGCCCCCCAGCCTCCCTGGCCTGGCCTCCTCCAGTCCCCCCTGGCCTGACTCCCTCCACTGCCCTCCCCTCCCAGGAGAATAAAGTGTCATGCAAAGTGTAGCTGCATCTTCTTTGCCTCTGGTGGATTTAAGCGGAAGGTGTCAGTGGGGTGAGTCGTGCATTCACTTAGTACGGTCTCCTACATGCGAACCTTCAAGTTGCAAACTTCAAAGAGGAAAGGGGACTTCTAGTAAATGTTTGTTGTGTCCCGCACACCGTTCTAGGTACTAGGGATTTCGTGGTGAACAAGACAGACTTAACAGCCCTCACACATTTAGCCATGAAATACTTATTGAAACAGGGTGCGGTGGCTCACGCCTGCAATCCCAGCACTTTGGGAGGCACAGGCGAGAGGATTGCCTGAGCTCAGGGGTTTGAGACCAGCCTGAGCAACATGACGAGACCTGTCTCTACAATAAATGATAAGATTAGCTGAGTGTGGCGGCACACGCCTGTGGTTCCAGCTGCTTGGAAGGCCGAGGCAGAAGGTTTGCCTGAGCCCAGCAGGTCAAGGCTGCGGTGGCCGTGAGCATGCCACTGCGCTCCAGCCTGGGTGACAGAGTGAGACTCCAACTCAAAACAAAAACAAAAACAAAAAACAACTTATTGAGCACTACGGTCATGCGTTATTCCAAGAGGCTGGGGCACACAGTGAATATGCCCCCAGCCTCTTGGTTTAGGGTCCTTTCGGTTGCAAGCAACAGAAGTCTTAGCTTGTTTTGGCTTAAACAAAAAATGGTAACTTATTGGCTCAAATAATTAAAGAGTCCACAGATCCCTTCAGGCACAGAACGATCCAAAAGTGTGCAGTGTCACCACAGCCCTGGTCCTGTTTCTCTGTCATTCTGGGTTCTTCTCACCTCTGTATTTTGAAATTGACTCCAGGCTAGCTTTTTTGTTGGCATCAGAAATGGCTTCACCAGGTACCAACTTTACATCTTTACTGTATGCCATTTAGAGGGAGAGAGAACACTTCTCTTCCAGTTGTTCCCTTGGAGAGGCTTATTTCCAGACATCCTGTCAATGTCTCCTCAGTTCTCATTGGTCAGTTTCATAGGCCATGTGCCCCACCCTTGTACCAGTTACTGGGTCCTGGGGGGATGGGTACACTTACTGGCTTAAGCCAAGCCAGGGGACACTGTCAGGGGGCTGAGGTGTGATCCAGCCCAACCTAATCACTTGATTGACAATAAACACAAAAACCTGGGCTTCTTTTAGTAGAAGAGGGGAAAATGGGTGCTGGCCACCCAAGAAGCAGTGGTGTGCTAGGCTGGCTTCAACCAAAGAAGCTGTTCAAAGGGACTACCGACGGCCAAATTTGGGGCAATTTAAGGCTCAGAATAGATCATGACAATACCAGCTTGTAACCCACTGAGTAAATTAGAGTCCATGTGCTCATATAAATACAAATAGTAAATGAATGAATGAATAAGGTACATAAGGGAAGAGTGCTGCCTTAAAATAGAATGCCAACTAATAAATGTAGACATATTTGCAAAGTATATCCTCATAAAATACTAATTTGATTTTTAAAAATTTCAGTTGGCCGGGCTCGGTGGCTCAGCCTGTCATTCCAGTACTTTGGAAGGCTGAGGCGAGTAGATTGCCTGAGCCCGTGGGTTTGAGAACAGCCTGGGCAACCTGGTGAGACCTCGTCTCTACAATAAAAAATAGCCGGGCGTGGTAGCGTGCATCTGTAGTTCTGGCTACTTGGAAGGCTGAGGCGGAAGGATCGCTGGAGCCCAGAAGGTGGACGCTGTGGTGGCCGTGAGGGTGCGTGCCCCTGCCCTACAGCCTGGGCGAAGGAGTGAGACTCCAACTCAAAAAAATTTTTTTTCAGTTATTTATTTAGAGACAGAGTCTTACTATGAAGGCTGGAGTGCAGTGACATGATCATAGGGCACTGGAACCTTGAACTCTTAACCTCAAGCGATCCTTCCACCTCAGCCTCCTGGGTAGCTGGTGCTACATGTGTGTGCCACCACACCTAGCTCACTAACTTGCTATTAATTAATACATTCCATTGTTGGTTAACCTGATAATGAAGAAACCTGGCAGATAGGTGATGAAATTTACCGTCACCACTCATAGGGCAAGTCAACATCATGGGCCTCTTGATGTAATGCTCTGAGAGGAATATAGCACTACCTTTCTGCTAAAAAATGCCTAAATCATGAGGAAACATCAGACAAACCCCAAGTGACATTTTACAAAGTAGTTAGCCTGTCCTCTTCAAAAATGAAAGGTTCCAGATAAAAGGACACTAAAGAGACATGCCACCAAATTGCAACATGTGACCCTGGTTGGATCCGGACCTACAAAGGTTGTTGGAGCAATCTATAAAATGAAACTAGAGGTTGGGCGTGGTGGCTCAGCCTGTCATGCCAGCACTTTGGGAGGCCGAGGCGAGAGCACTGCCTGAGGCCAGGGGTTCGAGACTAGCCCGGGCAACTTGGTGAGATCTCATCTTTACAAGAAATCACAAAAACTAACTGGGCGCGGTGGTGTGTGTCTGTTGTTCCCGCTACTTGGAAGGCTGAGGCGGAAGGATTGCCTGAGTCCAGCAGATCAAACCTGCAGTGGCTGTTTGCGAGCCACTGCATTCCTGCTGGACTCCGACATTTCTTCTGCCTCAGCCTTACAAGTAGCTGAAACTACAGGCGTGCGCTACCATGCCCGGCTAATTTTTTATCTATTGTAGAGACAAGGTCTTGCCAAGGTGCCCGGGCTGGTCTCAGATCGGGCTGGGCTCAGGCAATCCACTTTCCTCGGCCTCCCAAAGTGCTGGGATGACAGGCTGATCCACTGAGCCTGGCCTCTTCTAAGATTCTTATAGTTTGAGGGTTTACATTTAGGTCTTTGATCTGTTTTGAGTTGATTTTTGTATATGGTGATAGTTTGAACAGATTTGTAACGGCTTCTTTGAAGTCTTTGTTAAATTTGATGTCTAGTTGCTTTCACAGTCAGTTTCTGTTTGTTTTTTCCTTGTGTATAGATCATTCTTTTTATTCCTTTTCATATCTCTTAAGTTTCTGTTGGAAACTGGGCATTTTAGATAATCTATGGGTATTTTTATGGTGACTTCATTACACAGACCTGATTGATTCATATTAGATAACATATTGTAGCAAATCTGGCTACATCCCTTCACCCCTACCCCAGGTTTGTTATTGTTATTTACTTGTTTACTTGCTTAATAACTAGCTGGATTATTTAGTGAAGTCCCTCCACCCTCCCCAGTGTGAGGCCTCTAATGTTGCACCTTGAGTGTTGCTTGAGTGTACCCACAGCCACCCTGCCATGACAGTGGTTTTGGCAGGGCTCTCTTTAGCTGATTCTGGCTCTGATTACACCCAGATGTTAAACTCCACGAATTCCTGGCTGATTGCTCTTGTGTTGGCAACAATGCCTGTTTCAGAAAAAAACTCTCAAACCATATTTTCCTCTGTCCTCACAGCAACACAACGGTCAACAGACAGAGAAGCCTTCTGTGATCACAATATATTTGGGGGTTTCTCCCCATCACCAAGCAATCAACTCTGCAGAGACACCAACTGGATGTCCTCCGATTCGATTCTGACACTATCTACCTGGATATAGTGTCAGATCTCTCAGGTTGTGGACTCAGTTCACAAAACCGCTTCCTCCCACACGGGTCACAAGTCTGGGCCTCTGGAACTGTTGACCGACCGGCTTCAAGTTGGGGCTTCCCCAACCCCTGCTTTGGGTTTGATTTATTTGCTGGAGTGGCTCACAGAACTCAGGGAAATACTTACATTTATCAGTTTATTATAGAGGATGTTACGAAGAATACAGGTGAAGGACTGCATAGGGCAAGGTATGGGAGAAGGTACATGGAGCTTCCATGCCCTCTCTGATGGTACCACCCTCTAGGGTTTAGCTATCTGGGAGTTCTCAGAATCCTGTCATTTTGCATTTTTATGGTGGCTTCATTATATAGGCATGATCGATTAAACCATTGGCCACTGGTGGTCAGCTTGACCTCCGGCCCCTCCCCCACCCAGAGATTGTGGGTTGGGGCTGAAGTGCCTTTGTCTTGGGTGTCTAAGATGTCTAGGGTGACCGGCTCCACTCTAAAGCTATCAGTCAATATTAGCATGCAAAATGAGAACACTTGGGAGATTCCAAGGATTTGAGGAGTTGCATGCCAGGAAATGGCACGAAGATGAAATATATATTTCACAATATCATAACACCCCAGGAAATAGTTGTTATTATAGTGGAATGCAACTAAACTTGGACTTCTTTATAGCGATAGTACCAGAGTTCAGTGTTTGCGTGTGTTCTGATTGCGAAAGCCTCTTCACAGCTGTCTCTTTCCCTGTTTCTCTCCAGTAAACTAACCAGCCCGCAGTTTAGCCTGTATTTCCAATGACTCTATCCATCTCCTCCCACCTATCTTTCCTCACAGCTTGTCCCGTTTTGGAGAGTACCTTAAGCTTAAACCTCTCTACACTCTGTTGCAAATGAAGCCAGTTCATTCAAAGTTCTGGGGTATTTAAAGTTCTTTGTTTATAATCTATTTCTCCCTCCTGGGGGAAATCTCCGAGCTAAGGCTCTGGTGCTGGCGGTGGGAACAGCCATGGCTACTCCCTGAGTGGCACCCTGACTCTAGGAGCTGGGTGCTCTGTGGATGAGGAGACAGTGGCCTCTGGTCTCCTCTCTTGTTTCTTCTGGTGGGAATTCCCCACCTCGCACGCTGGGACAAAGGGCAATCATGGCCACAGCATTCCAGGGGATGTCATGCTCAACGAAGAGTCTCATTTCCTCCATTGGGGGCTAGAGGAGCAAAGGAGCCCCTATATCTTGACTTTATTCACCTGGAATTTAGTTT